AGAGAGAGAGAAAGCTCGGTGCTAATCTAGTGTGCATTTAAGTCTTCTAGTTTATGTCATTTCTATAGTATATTCTCTGTGTTTAAACAAAACCATAGCAATGAAAAACTAGGGAATTAACCCCTTTTACTCATGGTAAACAAACCATCAGATAATTTAAACCACAAGAATTTTGTCTCTCTGGCAGTTTCATTTATCTAAGTACATGAATTATCCTCTCACCTCTTCACCCTCCCTTGCCTGAGCAATATGAATTTAATGATGTCCAGATGTCTGGAGGTATTTGCTTGTTTTACTGTACCTTACACTCAGATTAAAGATAAGGCCTGATGGTTCATTTATTATTATTTAAAGCCAAGGTTAATGATTCCATAAGATGCAAAACACTTGCAAAATATACAGTAAGAAAATGAATGGATGTTACATTTAGATCAAGAGATCCCAGAAGAATTTTAGAAACATTTTGGAAATTGGGAAAGTGGAGAAAAGAATGTATATTTATTCATAGGACTTACGTAGTTTACCTATAAGAAATTTTCTGTATTTCCCTTCCAAACAAGACTATGCCTGCTATATCCCACCATGATTTATAAGTGGGAGGTTTGAAGCGTAGAGACTCACATGGGATGGGAGCTTTCCTGGGGCTCATGAGGAGGAAGGCATCACACAATCATCAAATCAGATGAAAATTCCTGAAGGCCCTGACCTTTAGTGAATTCTAGTTCTAGTATCCATGGCTGGCTCCTCCTTGAGTTGCTGGATTCCAGTGGCTGCAATCCTGGGATGCACAGTGTTCTCTGTGGTCTCACTGAAGGGCTTCTCTGAAGAAGACAAGTTGAAGTGGCTCCCAAGAATGAACCCCAGCTAATGGGACTCTTGCATTTGAAGCATGACAGACAGATATAGTTTGTCATTCCCTCGAAGACAATTCCTTTGTCTTTCTGAGATACTAGGCTTTTCCAGCCTCCCTGTGGCTAGTATGATTTTGATCTTGTAACTACATTCTGGCCAAGGAGATGTGAGCAGAAATGTTTCACAGCTTCTAAACACCTTTCCTAAGAGAAAAACCATGTCCTTTTTCTTTCCCCACTTTGTGAACTGGAACATGGACCATTCCAGTGATGGCAAAGAGGGAAGTGGAAGGCTGAGTCTAGACTCTTGAGGACCTTTTAAGAATGTCGTGACAGCTGTTGTCGGCTTCTCACACCTACTGGTTTCATTTAGGTAAGATAGGAATACATGCCTATCTTGTTTAGACCACTGTTACTTTGAATTTTCTGTTCCTTGCAGCTAAACTAGGTAGACAGCAGGATTTCATTTCATTGTTGTTGTGCAGGCCAAGATTTTTAATATACCAGTGACAATACAGAAATATGGACACATGATAGGCAAATGGGAGAGTATGGGGTTTGATCGTAGTCCAATTCCTGGGATCCTAAAGCAGTTTCCCGATCCATGTCAGTGAGTGTCCTGGGGTCACTCGCAAGTCTCATTTAGGGCCAGGCTGCTCCTGGTAGCAGCAAAAAAAAATTGTAATAAAGGATAACATGTCAGCAATTCCTTAAATATCCTTTGTTTGAAGCCAATTAAGAGCTGGTAGAATTCGTAATGAGTTATTTCTGAAAAGAGAGTTGAGAATTAAACAGATATTCCAAGTAGATATCCTTCAAAGAGGTTAGGGAATGCAGGGAAAAAATCCAAGATACTCTCATGATCAAAGAACTGTTATTCAAAATTTATAAAAAGAGAAGACAGGAAGAGTGTAGACCCTACTATTCAGATAAAACAAACTCAACAGAGATTGTTGCAAATATGGCGAAACCCCAGCTCACTGTAATTTTTGCTTTTTCTTGTGTCCTAGAACTTCTTTTATGCTGATTATAGTAAGAATGGTTCCACATTAGTTCCTCTCCTGAGTTGTTTGCTTGTTATTGGAACTCTCAGTCATAATTCACATCTCATCCTTAACTGGACCCTCCCTTTTCCTTTGCTTCAGTTAGCACAGGGGGTGACAAACTATGGCTCGCAGGCCTGATCACAGTCTGTGGGATAAGAATGGTATTTATATTTTTAAATGGTTCAAATAGTTTAAAAAAGAATTAACATTTTGTATCACAAAAATTAAATGAAGCTAACATTTCAGAGGCTATAAATAAAGTTTTATTTGAACACAGCCTCGCCAGTTCATTTACACATGCCTATGGCTGCCTTCATACTTTCTAGCGGCAAAGTTAAATACTGTAGTTGTAACATAACCTGCTAGGCCTGAAAAGCCCAAAATAGTTATTATTGGCACCTTACAGAGAAAGTTTGCCAACCTCAGATCTAGCAAGATGTGACACCTTAGTTTTGGAATTCAGAAGTTGAATCCTGGAATTTGAGAGCTGAAAGACTATTTAGAATGTCTCTTGACAACATCCCTGACACATACCTGGCCAGAGTCAGCAGGCTTATTTTTATACAGCTGTTCTGTTCTTAGAAATATTTACTTAAAAGGGAATCCTCTCATGTTCATTTATTTGGTCCTAGTTCTACTCTCAGCATGGCCAGGGGCTGGGAAATAATAGGTGCTTTGAACTATTTATTTGCGGAGCATGGTGGCTCACACCTGTAGTCCAGGCACTTTGAGAGCCAGGGTGGGAGAATTGCTTAAGGCCAGGACTTCAAGAGTAGCCTGGCTAATGCATTGAGACCTCATCTCTACAAAAAAATTAAAAAATTAGCTAGGCGTGGTGGTGCTTGCCTGCAGTCCTAGCTACTTGAGAGTCAGGCTGAGGTAGGAGGATCGCTAAAGCGCAGGAGGTCAAGGCTGCAATGAGCTGTGATTGTACCATTGTACTCTAGCCTGGGTGACAGAGCAAGACCCTGTCTCCAAACAAAAAAAATAAAGAGTTGAATGTTAACTTAGCACTTAGTATATGACAGAATTACTCTAAGAGCTTTCCAAGTAACTCACAGAACATTATGAAGTAGAAGAACATTTTACAGGGAAGGATGCTGAGGCACAGAGAAAATTAAATTTTCCAAGCACGCACATCCTGTAAGAGGCACAGCTGTGAGTAAAACTTAGTCTGGCTCTGGATCCGGGTTCTCTGCTGCTCTATTTACCAAAGAATTAATTAATCAACATTTGATTGTTGTATTCTATGTGTCAGTCTTTCAAATATGTGGAGATGGCTACTAAAGTCCTAAGAAAAAGATTTACGGTTCCTTCAAAATCTCAAGCCATATAATGCTGCAATATGAGAAGCAAAGGGAAAGAGTCTTGCTTCGCTTTGTTTTCTCTAATTGTTCTCATTTCTAGGTACCACCAGGATAGTAAATGGTTTGAAAACTGTTTAGTATAAAGAGAAGTAGAAGAATCTAGGGACATTTAGCCTGGAGAAGAGAACTCTTGTTAAGAAAATAGCTGGAGCAAATCTGGGCTTTCCGTGACATTCATGAAATCCAGACCAAAAAAGAACATTTTCCCAGTGTCTATCTCTTAAGAACAAAGGAACTTACTTCACCAAAGCTTCCAGGAAAGCTTTGGTGCTAGGGTCTTTCAAGAAGCAAATGTTAAGATGGACTGACATGTGCTGGGATTTTATTGGGGAAAATGAATGTGTGAATGGAAATAAGCAGGGAGCTGGGATGGCTGCAAGAACGTCAGGCACTGATGGAAATGCAAGTGGAGGGAAGGGACAGAAAGGCCCAGTGGAAGTGCCTTATACTGTCTAGTCGAAGCAAATCTTAGGGGAATCCTTTACTCCAAATCAGCTGACAAAGGAGTTGTATCTCCCAGAAACAAGTCTGTCTTAGTATTCCTTAGGATTCACAAACCTGGGGACAGATTCCAAAGTGCAGCAGCTGGGGCCTTTGGTCAGTTATGTGGCTATAGAAGGAGGTGTTCCAGGTGCGTTCTCATGACTGCTGTTTCCCTCCTCACATATCATTGGTTCACTATTAAATCAGTTCTTGTCTCAGGGGATTAATGACCTCATTGGCTGAGGCCTGGCCAGGGGGCTGGAATCTCCCATAGGCCCATTAAGTCTAGTGTCTGGACCAGTTCCCCTGAAGCATGTGGGTTGTGGGGAGGAGGGGCTGATGTCTAAATAAAAATCTGGATATATTTAGGAAGGGAAAGGGGAAATCACATCTATGATACTGAAATTTGAATCCCTATGTATCTGAGGGCAAACTCTGTGTTTATCTGCAACACAACACCTCTTAAAATCTATGGTGGCTACAGGCTTTAAAAGTTGTGGTTTTGGGGAGCAAGAGGATGGGGATCAAATTCTAAGCCACTGAAAATCACCCTGTTATCTAAGCCATGTGCGTTGCCAAGCCTGGTTTTGAAAGGCTTCATAAATTGTGAGCTGGCATGTTGCAGTAGAAATATAACCATCAGAATAACTAATAATTTTAGAGCACTAATTATGTGCCTGATGCCATATTTTATATCCACTCTCACACTAAATGCCTGTGACACCTAGTAGATAAGCATCATTTCTAGTTCCAGATTATCTAGGAGGACACTGAAGTCTTAGGGGGTTAAAGAACTTTCCTGAGAATACAGTGAAGATAACTGGCTGATTGTCTGATTGCAAAGTTATAACTTCTCCTGCCCCTCCTCAAAATTCTTCCTCTATTCTTCCTCCAGCTTGTTTCAACCATGCTTGTAAACAGTAAGTGTGCTTTTCAGGAGCTGTCCTCTTCCAGGTGAGAGTGGGAGAGTTTTGTGCTCTCTCGGGCACTGTATTAGTGGCATTCTACCAACATGGGCTTGCGATGGCTATTGAGGGCGCTTGAGACTGGTGCAGTGCCAATGGGAAGGGCAGGCTGCCCTCAATGTCCAGGAATTGTAGGTAGCCAAATACAGTGCAGCGCTTTGGAATTACAGCACTTGGTTGGACTTGTAAAGGGAGCTGTTTTCCTTGTCCATTTTGGTCGCTTAGCTGTGTGTTAATACACACCAAGATCATGTGGAGCTGATGTGGCACTTTAGGAACCAAAAGAAAGACAGACAAGGACCATAATAACAAGGGCCATGCAGAGAATTCTACTGGTCATCTCAGTGACAACTCATATGATTACAGTAATCTTTACTATGGGTGTGCCCTGCTTTAGGGAATATAAATTCACAACAGATAAGTGAAGGGGTGATTATTCACTTTAAAAAGGCATAATGAATTTACAGAAGGATTCGCCGTAAGAGTCTTTTAAATATCAATGGAATGCAAGTAAAAAGCAATTTATTATATTTATCATGTAATGTGTTTTCAAGAGTACAACCATTGGGTTAAGGGCTGTTCACATAATTATATTTCAAAGAAATATAATTCAGATAGCTTCCTCAAGATCAAATTTTAACATTTTCATACATCTATACATCAAGATATATTCATTAGGGTTCTGTGAGGTGCAAGGCACTACACTTTAATGTATTGACTCAGTAGTTCTCTTGTGGGGCCCCCAGGTTCTGCATTCCTAATAAGTCCTCAGACCACACTTTGAGTAGCAAGGGCTTCTAGAGAATCAGCTTCCATGGCTACCCATGGTCACTGGGTGTTGCAGTCTCTGCAGCTGGAGTGAATCCCTATCATAGTAAATGTTCCAGTCTCTAAGACCTGAGTGAGAGCACCTGGTTGGCCAAGCCAAGGCCGCACACCTGCACTTTATCTCTTGGAGAGTAGAAGTTTGATGTCTGCTTTCTTCCACTTCTGTAGTGGAAGGCAGGCCCTGCTTCCCAGCATGATGTACCATAGAAAAAATTCTCTAAACCCAGGAAGGAAGTTCAGATGCTGAGAATCTAAAAAGATGATAAATGTCCACTACATGAACTATGTGAGTTTATATGTAAAATGTCAGTTATTTAGCTCACCTTTGCGTGATCCATTGTGCAGATGTGGAAGTCTCAGGAGCCTGGTTAGCCACATGGTTGTAGCCTCAGACTCTTCCCCTCCAACCTCAAATGGAAGCAATGGCTCTCCTTTGTCACTTGCCATGATCACATGCCCCCCCTTTCTTATCTGGCATGTAAAACACTCCACATTCCAATTTTCATTTGCTTTATTATTTTCCATTTAACTGCAATCTTTTCTTGTGTCAGGGAGTTTTTTTCTGGATTTAGTTTGTGAGAGTTGATGAACTCCCCTGGTATTCATCCTATATTAGGATTTACAGGGATAGTTCTCCAATATTAAAAAATAAAGGTAAATCCAATGCTACAGTTAAGAATGAGAAATGTCAAAGTTTACACCTGTTTGTTCCCCTTTTAGGATCACTATCTCCATCTAAACTGTAAGTTGACTTTTATTAAAATGTAACATTTACCTTCCCAAAGTGAATTCGTCTTCCTACAATAAGAATAGGAAAATATCACAATTTACTGCAAAAAATAGCAAATACAGAAAAAAGCCAAGTAATTTTTAATAAAAACCATAATTTTAAAATAATGCCTTCTTAAGTATACAGTGCTCTAATGGAGGCCAAAAAATTGGCATGAGAATTCAAATAAAATCTAATATCCTATGAGAAGAAGATATTGGACAAAGATTCTTGTCAAAGCACTGCAATATAGGTTTTGATTTACACATATGGTCATTACTGGTCACTGGGGGGCAGGAATCATAAACAGACATTTCTTGCCTGGGAAGTGAAGATAGTAGGTTTTGATTTTGTTAAGTTAGAAAGAAGGGTACTCAGGACAGTCAGTTGGTTGGATTTCTCTACTTTTTAATCAGGTGTAGATATAGCCCATCAATAAAGAATCCAACTGCTGGAGTGGACACGAATTGTGGGAGGCTGGATACATAGGCCTAGATGAAGCATGACACCACAGGGTAGGCAGAGAAGCCTTTCTGTCTTTTCCCTAGACAAACAGGAAATGTTTAGCTCACCTAAGTTAAAACTAACTGTGGGTAACTTCAACATTTGCTTCATAAATACAGCCAGTTGGAAATGCTTTGGACTGGAGGTCCCAGAACCTGATTTTAATTTTGGTTCTGAGCTGGGCGTGGTGGCTCACACCTGTAATCCAAGCACTTTGGGAGGCTCAGGCAGGTGGATCACTTGAGCTCAGGAGTTCAAGACCAGCCTGGGCAACATGGTGAAACCCCATGTCTACAAAATACACAAAAATTAGCCAGGCATGGTGACACATGTCTGTTGTCCCAGCTACTTGGGAGGCTGAGATGGGAGGGTGGCTTGAGCCAGGGAGGCAGAGATTGTAGTGAGCCATGATCATGCCACTGCACTCCAGCCTGGGCAACAGAGCCAGACTCTGTCTCAAAAAATAAAAATAAAATAAAATAAATTTTGATTCTGAGACTCTTCCTTCATTTGAAAAGGAGAGGGTCAGTGTAAATGATTATAAGAATTTTTCCTCTAAGATTGTGTGAGTGTGAGTCTAATGACTAAAATGATTTATATCTGTAACATGCTCTGTTAAGAGAGACACAGGATTAGGAAAGGACTTTAACTGGAGATGGAAAATGTTAAGATGTCAGAAGTACTTGGAGAAACATGGGAAATATGGAAAGGTAGGTAGGTAATAAAAGGAACCTTAGTCAAAAATAACCTCTTATAGCTTCTCCTGTTCCTTGGGGCTGTGGAGTGAGGGACATATTTTGACACAGTCATTAGCTGATTCAGTGTTGTTTTCTGCTCTAATGCCTGTTTCTCAAGAAGCAGATTTTCTGGTCATCGGTGGAGGTAGCCAAAGCACCATCCTCCACAAGCAAGGGTAAATCAGATCTAATATTGCAGATTCTCAGTCCTTGATTTTGAAGATTGTCCTCTTAAATAAAGGACACACAATCACTGTTCATGAACCTATGAAATGTGATTCAGAACCAGAGAAGCTGTAAGAATCGGGAACTAAACATTAGCCACTGCCATGAAGCATCTAAATGAAGGTGTCTGGTTTTTGTTTTTCTACAAAATATTTTTCAGTGTGCTGAAAAAAGAAAAAGGGGAGTCTGGCTTTCAAGAAAATAATTGTCTTAAAATTCTCTGCCAGGTGAGAGTTACACTGATCTGGATGGATTTACTTACTGCTTTTCGTTTTTCTCTTGTGGCTTGAACCATCCAGTAGAACAAGCAGAAAGGAATTTTATTCTGCTTTGACACTGAAAACAGTAGCTCTGCAAGACGGCACAACACTTTCTACAAGCCTACAGTGTGTTCAAGTATTTCATATACGTTATTTAGCACTCACAATAACTGTGAGATTGGTGTAATGGCCCCCATTTTGAGGTGAATATATTATAGCAACTCTGAGATGTATGTCAGTGTTCCCTGGGGATCCCACTCAGGTCTCCTCACTTCAAGTCAGATA